TTCAATTTAAATTAACGTTGAAGGATGAGCGAAGGTTAGCAATATTAACTGTACTTCCAACGGGATTTGATAAAAGTTTACATGTAATATACCGATACTTTGTCTTCGTCAGCTATAATAATAAACCTTTTCCAAAGAAGTACAAGGGAAAACTTCGACGTATGCCTTGCTGATCTTTGCAGAGAGAGTAAAATAAGTCTAGTTCAGGCTGACAATTTATCTGACCGCGTTTGCATCACTTGCGGTTTCAAACGTTGAACAACTTAAGGTTAGCCCAGCGAGACGTTCGTTGAGACACAGGCAGTGAATCAGCTAGTATAAAGCAGTTGATTGTCAAATGCCTCTGAACATTTCTCCCAAATACTTCCCTGTCAACCCAAGGCTTTCTGCCTAAACAATCTGGTCTTGAATATTAAAGTCAAGACAATGGGCAAATTATTAAAACAGACGCCGTCGAGGAAAGTCGTTCTTAGAACACCTGGCCAATTTGAATTTACACCTGGAAATTTTGCAATAGTCGTTTGCGTGTTTTTGACCGAAGTCCGCTCTCTCTTTGAGACTTTATTTTTGGGAGTCTCAACTAGTGACATATATTATTACAACAAGAGCTTTTTACAAAAAAAATGTAGTTATTAAACACGGCAGAATCTATGCCACGGCCACGGGTTTTCAAATTGTCTATTGTCTATTGAGTTAATTGTATTATTGAGCGAATGACAGACTTCACGCAATAATGATTAATGTTGTTTTTTAGCCTGCTATTGTTCGACACTTTTAATAAATAGTGTTTGTTACTTTGTTCAAAACCTAAATACGTTTCCTTAAATCTTACAGTTATATTTTGGATATAAATATATAAAATACATTAACTAATAGAGAGTAAAATTTTACGTCTCTGTAGTATAGTTACATAATTTAAAACGGCAATGTACGAACAAGACAGCAATATACAAACAGGACTATGTTTTAAATATTAGAACACTTTAGGGAAAAAACGACCATGAATTATTTTAGATTAAAGTTTAGACCTTGGAATCCTAGTGAAAGATACAGGCGTAAAATTGCGCGAGAAACTGTTTGTTGTTGTTAATAACCTCTGGTAATCTAATTAACAAAACTTGCTTTGATTAGCTACTATTTACCGGATATTCAATTATCTCAAAGGGGGCGTATTGAAAAAATATCAATAAAAGTCGCAGGCTCTATATAATAGAGCCTGTGAGCAGGCTACCCAGAGTCATGCCACAACCTAACCCGCGAACAGGCATACTCTGGGAACGAGATTGAGTACGACCGTACTATAATGGACCAGGAACTGCGTGACCCAGTTTCGATCTTGTCCAAATCGTTAAACGTTAACGTTCAAAACCTTCGAGATTTTGACTTGATAAACAAATAACTAGACACTTGTGAAACTAATGTTTTCGAAGTTGGCAACGTAGACTCAGTTCGCTAAATGTTTTGCTTTAATGATTTATATTTGGTCATGCAAGATATACTTTATCTGGGCAAAATGTATCTAGTAGTGCCGTGTATAGCCTAAATGAGGTGTAAATCTGGACAAAGCATAGATAACTAAATGCGCACTTTTCAAAAGTATTTCCTCGCATTTGAATTGGATAGATAAGTTAAATGTCCCACAATATTTAGAATAAACATAGCGTGCCTAAGTCAGCTAACTTTTGCCGTACATCAAATTTTGCCGTGCCGTGCGTGCCATTAATTGCAAAATATTGCAGCTACAGTCGTGTACGTGCCGTCATAGTTAATAGAGGAGATGGTTTGGAAACTCGTTAGCATTACAATAAAATCGCAATAAACCTCATCTATGTTGTTCAGGTTTATGCGAATATGTGGTCTTTCATCGTCACGTGCGTATTGTATTTTTCTCAAGTCATCCAATAGGAATGTTCAAAATGTCCTATTGTTAAAGTCATGGATGGGCAATTGGACAAAACCATTGCTATTGGCTGTTTGAGCAAAAATACAATACGCACGTGACGATGAAAGACCACATTTTTGTATAAACCTGGACAAAAACATAGATAGTGAGTTTATTGTAATGCTAATGAGTTAATAAGTAACAAATTATCTGAATTGTTGCTAGGTTAATGCAATTTCATCTCGCTTAGTCATGGCTTCATAACTGCATGCTTGTGCTAAAAACAAATTTATATGTCTTCGTTTTTACGGTTCACGATTTTCTATCGGACTATGAATATTATACAGGGTGTATCAATAAAAACGCAACCTCGGAATTTACTAAGAAATCACTTTG